AAATCTGTTCATTTGTATTAATGCTGAAAAAGCCTTATTTTTATCCAATTCCAGCAATAGATGCTGCTATTGCATTTCTTTTGCAAGAGCACAGGGTACTATCAGATACTTGGAATCTCTCAGGAAATTGAATGGGTGTGATAAAGCCATATTCCCTATAAAATGCACAGCTGGAAAGAAAAATGAATGGTGGGTCAAACTTTTATCAGATCATTGATATATATATATATATAGGCAGCCACTCACCCAGCAGCAGAAGAGATGTCAGCTCTTGCAGAAGGCACCTCATCTTTGTAAGAGAGTGAAGATAAAGGGGCAGCTCTCTTTCCTCTCCTCACTTGCCTATTTTTTAAATATTCAGTTGTCAGCCACCAATTGGCTTATATTTCCTGAAAAATATTTTGTTGCCAGTGGAAATACAAGGTGGGGATGGGAGGGCAGGAGAAGGGAGAACAGAAGGGAAAAATAAGTGAGGGAAGGACAGTGGGAGGCGTGAAAACGTCCTCAACTGCTAAAATTATGTTTCCAAATTGATGCTACAGCCGTTCTGGATCCCGGCACGCTATGTGCCTCAATGTCTACTTTGATTTTTTCCAGGGCCAGTTTCAACAGCGATTGAGGATCCTTTCCTGTCACAGTAGCCAGCCAGGGAGGGGAAATGAGATAAATCCTTTCATCTGCTCAGTCTGGTAATGCCAGATCCTCCTTCCAGCGAAAACGGGAACATTCCCGGTGCCTCCCGGTACAGTTCCCAATAAATAATCAGTTACCGTCCCGGCGGCTGAAGATGTACAGGGTGTTCCTCCGGCTGCTACGCTCCACGAGAGGCAGAGTCGGTAGCTTTGCTTCCCCAGCGGCTTCCTTCCTTCCTTGGGACAGGAGCGTGAGCTGTGCCCCGCTCTCCTCCACCCGGGCTCGGCTCTGCCTGACGGTGCCACCGGAGCCGGGCTCCTACTCTCCGCGGCTGCTCCTGTTCCGCCCGGGCGAGGCTCCCCGCTCAGCAGCGGGATCCCCCTC